AAAAAAATTCTAATATAATAAATATGTTATTGGTGTAGTTTGCTAGATCCAGGAAAAAGCAAAGCAATATCCCTTTTAGCCACAAACTCACCCTTTGACATTGGAAACACACTTATGATGTGTGTGATCTTTATTGCATGTTGTAGAGTCCCACCCTTTTTACCACTAACTTGCCACTCAAATGTGGTTCTGACATTGTAGACATGAAGAGAGCTTCAGTCAGTTAGACTTCAAAGATTACTCCTAGGAAATGTTTGCATCTCCATGATGTGAAATATCCAAATGTTTCCAGATATTTGGCTTATCGAGACAAAACATGCAAGGGGTCATTCCCCCCCCTTTTGTTTTGAGACTGAAATTTTGATGCTTTGGTATTTGCAAATACAGAGCCAATGACACCTCGCTGCCAGATGATTTTCTTTTACCTGAAGGAAATGTTTCCTTTGTCCATAATTATTTTAAGGTGGTACTGTGAAGTAAGTCAGTTGGGACCAGATTGAGTGGAATTCTGAATTCCTCTTCCCTGGTTGATTGGTTGGTGTTGGAATCATGATTCACACCTAGAAGTGACTGGAGGGTTAATTTTAGTCAACTCTCTCATTTTAGAGATGAATAAACTGGGTTCTGGAGAGGTGTATGATTTGCTGAAGGTCACACAGTTAGGAATCAAGCCTAGGTTCTCTCCTTTATATTTAGGTGATATCTATTTTTTACTGTTCCCTAAGGGGAAAAAAAAAGATTTTTTTTTTGAGGGGGAAGGGAAGAGAAGAAGCATGAAAGTGTATTTGAAATGGAACTTTCTTATTGGGGAGAGACTGACTTTACCAACAGGAAAACATCATCATTGCCAGTTTTCCCAGCTTTGCTTTAGTAGTTCCATTAGGAACTATTGCTAGGAAGAAACATACCATGTTTTTTTTACATTTTGTTTGCTTTCTCACCAGCCCTCCGTTTTGTAATCCATTGGCATGCCCTTTTTCAGGCCCAGGCTGCTACTTCTATCCCTGGGACCCATGGCCATTTGCCTGCTTAGTTTCTGCTCCATTTCTCTTCAGTTGACATGCTACCATGACTGCCCTGTCCCACATACTAATGACTGACTTCTTGCTACTGCCTCCTTTGATTCACAGTGGCACATTTTCCCACATGAAAATGGACATAGAGCCTTGGAAGTAAGCTTAATGGATTTCAGAGTCATTCTGAGTCAACCTGAAAATTACTGCAACATAGGAACCAGTAGCTAATCTCTTTTAGAGAGCAAGGCATGATGATATTTTATTCTAGAGGGTAGCAGTGCATTTCACAGTAATGGCCACTACTGGCTGCATTTGGCACTTCTGAAAACATCCTTGCTCTCTGTTTTTCCCCTTACCTGCCAAAAGGATGGACCAAGCAAGCTTTCACAGAAATTTCGTTGTTTACTCTTATCTCTCTCTTTAATATTACTCCAGCATTTGACACAAATAAACAGGAAAAAAATACAACCACAGACAACTCTGTGGACCTGGTTTTTTTTTGGAAATGGAGTAGGAGAAAGCAGGAACTTGTGTGTAGCATGAAATTTGAGTTCTTGGTATTGGCTTTGGAATCAGAGGACTAGCATTCACATTCTGTCTTTGATGCTTATTACTTGTGTGACCCTAGGCATATCACTTAACTTCCCTCATTATTTTCATATCTAAAATGAAAGGTTTAGATAAGACAATCTCTTCCAGATATCTATATCTATAGATAGATGTGTTTATATAAATTGATATGTGTATATATGTGTGTTTGTGTGTATATATATATATATATATATGAATATATATATGTGTGTGTGTATATATATGTGTGTGTAGATATATATATATAAAATATACATATATATGTATACATATATACATATATATGTATATATGTGTGTGTGTGTGTGTATATATATATATATATATATATATATATATGTTTGTTTATTTTTATACACACACACACACAAAACCAAATATGAGATGTGCAAATTTGGAGTGATCTCCATTCCAAATATTCACATGGACGATTTCTGTCTGATGTATGGTAGAATTGTTCAGATTAGCCACAGTTGGACATACTGTACATTGACCCTGATGTAGTGATGTGATTTTGGTCACCTTAGTTTACAAAGGGCAATTCACAAATATACATCTACATCTATATATCTGTGTGTACACATACACGTGTGTGCACACATATATAAATGTATATATGTATGTGCATATATACATACACATATTATACACACACACATATTTGGTATGAGGTCCAAAGGAGAGAGAAATTGCCATTTGCAGTTGAAAACCACATAGCATCATTGTTTTTGCCCATCAAGTTTTTTTGTGCATTTGAATTCTAACTTCATTAATTAGTACTCATTACTGATGAAAATACTGATGGAATTACTAGAATTATAGATTTAGAACTGGCAAGGGTCTTAAAGGTTACCTAGTCCTTCACCTTCATTTTACAGATGAGGAAACTGAGATCAAGAGAGGCTAGTTTACTTGCCCAAGGTCTGCCAGAAAATCAGGGGCAGAAGCCAGCCTTAGACTTTGGTCCACTGATTCTAAACCTCAGGTTCATTCTGTTTCATCACTCTGTCTCACCCATTGACTATTCAAAGTCTTCCTCCCACCCCTGCTTAAATTTACCAAACAATGGGCTGATATTGGTGTTGAGATGGAGAGAATAAATAGACCCAAGGGAGAGTTTATAGGGAACATTACCTTTTTCAAAACCTCAATTAATCTGTATGAGGAGACAAGAAGAGTGAATTATTAAATGTTACCACTAAAATCCTTTTACCACCCATCACCATGGACCAAATAATAAATAATAAATAGCCTACCCTATAAGTTGACAAGTAGGTGACCTCTTAATATTCTACAAGGTTTTTGTGGTAGAGGGAGCATGGCCTTTTGAATAGAGAACAGATATAGAATTCAGAAAGACCCAAGTTCAGGTCTGGTTTTGATATATACTGATGTATGTAGTCCTGAGCAAATTGCTTCTCAGTATCCTAGACAACTCTCTAAGACCATAAGAGAAAGTCCTGGTCTGTATTAACACAGGAACTTCTTACGAGAATCTTCCTCAACCAATGAAAATTGCAGCTCTGGGTTAAAAAAACAAACAAAAAACTCCAAAGAATTTCCAGGAAGCTATGGTGAGGAAGCCAGGGATTTCCTTTCCAGAATCATAAATGGCCAATTAGTCACTGTATCTAAGGCAGCATGGGCAGGACCAAAGAATCACACAGTATCTCATCATCTTCATCATCTTTCCTCCAAATGGTTTGAAATAAGCTTTTGTCCCCACAGTTCATAAGAGCATAGATGTCAAGGAGAGTCCTCTCATTTGAAAGATAAGGAAATTGAGTTCCAGACAGCTTACATGATTTGCCCATGATCATGAAAGTAGTCAATAAGTGGCAGAGCTGGGACTTAAACCTAGGGCCCCTGACATCCAATTGAACATTGTTTCAAGGTACCCTGCCTCTTCTGCTACAAATATTGATTTAATTACTAATGATGAACTTAACTACAAGCCATGAAATTTCAAAAGATGGTGGTCTGGGCCATTCTCTTGGTGGGAAAGAGAGAAGCTGATTTTCAACCTTCCAAACTGAAAGAACACCAAACATCATTGTGACCACTTTACCATGGGAAATGACTATGTCCTAGCAGTAAGAGTTGTGGTCTGTTATCAGACAACCTAACTTTTAGTCCTGACTCTGCTATTCATTGGCTGAGGTGCACTGAGCAAATTGCTCATTGATTTGGGCCTCAGTTTCCACCTTGTAAGGGCCAGTGGGTTGGAATAGATTATCTCCAAGGTTCCTTTTCTAGCTCAGCAATTCTATCTCAAGGATTCCTTGGAATAAGCCCAGACTTAGAAGTTGCCTTTGTCTCCAGGTTCAGGAAGATTTCAGGGCTTCCCTATTATCTTCTGCAGAAAGTAAGAATATTTATTGCAGCTCAGTCTTCCCTAAACACTGTGTGTTTGCAATTGGCAGTTCTGCTTCAAAACCACCACCATTAAGGCAATCATTCAATCCCACATGCTCAAGAGTAAGTGGGACCTATATCATCCCTTCAGCTTATATTTGTGCAATTTCTTTGATGTCAGTGGGAATGAGTGAATTAATAAACAACATGATGGAGTTCTTTCCATTTTGAAAGGAAAGAGGAGGGCCTGGAACCAGCCCAGTCAGGATCTGGCCTGATATCTCCCAATAGCTGAACCTCCCCGCACCTATGCAACCAGGTTAAACCAGTTTCTTTTAATTACTCTTAAACAGCTTAACCCTTCCCAGCCTGTCACATTGTGCTGCCAATGGCAGATCTGTAAAAGTCAGCTGTATTTTTTTTCATAATGACATTGATGATAACCTGTACTTCTGTAACATTTTTATCTGCAAAAGTGGTTTGCAAACACTAATTAACTGGGTCTCATAACAGCCCCAGGAACTATGATTGTATTATTAGACCCATTTTCCAGATGATAAAAATTGAGACATAAAGGAACAGTATTATGGTTCTCTGCCACTTCAAAGCAAAGTTACGAATGGGCACAAGAGACTGCTTGATGCAAGATTGTCCCACATTCCAAAGAACACCTGACATAAGGTTGTTTTCCCAAGAATTAAAATGAAACTTCAGCAAAGTACCTTCCAGCAAAGCACATGATTTTTTTTAAAGGACCTACTCTTGGCTTGTTTTGCTAAAGAAACAATTTGGCATGGTAGATAGTATACTGCGGTATGGGAGATAAGGATTCCAATCCAGATTCTAGCACTTCCTGTGTAATCATGGCTAATTCATTGTCCTTGAATCTCAGGAAACTCTTTACTTTGTGGATGCTTAATGCACTGATGTGTGAAGTGTGACCCTCTCATTTCATATAAATGAGTAGATTCTGAGACATCCTTAAAGGAGACTTTCGGGTCCTCATGTGTAACACGTTGTACTTGATTGTTTTCACAGGCCCACCATCTGCTCCTCTCAACTTGATTTCCAATGTCAATGAAACATCAGTGAATCTGGAGTGGAGCAGTCCTGAGAACACGGGAGGCCGTCAGGACATTTCCTACAACGTGGTATGTAAGAAGTGCGGTGCTGGGGATGCCAGCCGGTGTCGATCCTGTGGCAGTGGAGTGCACTATACACCCCAACAGAATGGCCTCAAGAGCACCAAAGTCTCCATTACAGACCTCCTGGCACATACTAACTATACTTTCGAAATCTGGGCTGTGAATGGAGTGTCCAGGTATAGCCCAACTCAGGACCAGTCGGTTTCAGTTACCGTGACGACAAACCAAGCAGGTAGGATCCTCTGTCTGCCTTCTGGTGTCAAATTGACATTTATTATGGGGAATGGAGCATGGTGTCATCCTATCCATAGGCAATGTTAATTTTTTTCAAATGAACTTGAACCCCATGAGTTTAATGAAAAAACTATAAGTGGTATTTCACCAGAGGCTATGGTGAATTTTTATTCAATCAGGTATAGCCTATTTATGGAAATGAGAGGAGGAACAATCTTTTCTAGGACCTCTCAACTCAATAACACTGAGACCTAGCACTGTAAATGTAATTTTCATGAACATATATTTTTCTTCTTTGACCATACTTTTTCCCCCACATGAGTTAATATGGACCCATTGTTATTAATCTAGGAATTAACTTTGTCAGCTTTCTTTTTATTTAAGACTGAAAACTTTCACTCTTATTAATTTATACCATTTTTATCTCCTTAGTGTCATGACTGGTAGTCTCATCATAGAACTCTTCTTTCCTCTGTTACCTAAATGATTTTCTTTCTACTTAGTTCCCATCAAAAGTAGTGTCTGTATGAGGGAATCCCCTAAGTGAACTTCACAGTAAATATGGTTAAGTATAGTATTTGTTGTAACAGGGAAAATTGCAACAGTCACAGACCCTGGCCTGTCATGTTTTCCAAATAAAATAATTTCCATCTTTTGTGAAACCCTTGGTAATTGAAGGCAACCTGTAACCCTGGAAAGCATGCTAGATTGGGAATTATGGGAGCTGAGTTCAAATCCTAGCTCTGTCATTTTATACTTGGGCAAATTTAGGTAAGACACTTATCCTCTGGGCTTCAGTGAGCAGATGAGGGGTATTGTGTGAGGCATGTAGCAACTTGACCAATGTTACTGGATCACTGAGTACATAGAAGGGAGCAGAGTATAAGAAGACTGGAAAAGTAAGAAAGGGCCACGTCATGAAGGGCTTTAAATGATCTCAGAGGTGATAAAGATCTACTGCAGTTTATAAAATAGGGGAGTAACATGGTAAAATTTAGTCTTTAGGAAGATTAATTTGATACCTGAATGGAGTATGGATCTGAGTGAGGAGAAACTTAGAGCAGAGAAGCCAGTCAGGAAGTTACTTACAGCAATAGTCCATGCATGACATAATGAGAGCCTGAACCAAGGCAGTGACAGTGTCAGAGGAGAGAACAAAGTATATATAAGACATGTTAAAAATGTGGAATCAAAAGGATTGAGCTGATTGGTGGTGAGAAAGAGGAGTTGAGGATGATGTCCAAGCCTGAGTGACTGGGAGGATGTTGATGAAAGTAATATGGAAGTTAGGAAGAGGGGAAATCTTAGCGGGGGTGATAATGAGTTCAGTTTTCAACATTTTGGGTTTAACACATCTATGGGATGTTCAGTATGAAATACCGAATAAGCAGATGGAGATAAGAGACTGAAGGTTAGGAGAGAGGTTAGGGCTTGATAAGTAGACCCAATGATCATATATGGAAATGGTGATGAAATCCATGGAAGCTGATGAGATAACCAAGAGACATAATACTTAGAGAGAAGGCCCAGAACAAGGGAAGAGAATAGACATTTGTATAGTGCCTACTGTGTGCCAGGCATTGTGCTAAGTGCTTACTAATATTATCTCATTTAAAAAGAACAGAATGTTGGATTCACCCACCATTGGTAAGTGTGACCTAGATGAAGATACATTGAAGGAGACCAAGAAGGAGCAATCAGACAGGTATAAGTAGAACCAGGAAAGAGTAGTGTCATGAAAACATGGAGAGAAGAGATTGTCAATGGGAAGAGGATAATCAGCAATTACAAAGGCTATAGAGAGGTCAAAAGGATGAGAATCAAGACAAAATCCATTAAATGTGATGCTTAAGAGACCACTGGTAACTATGGAGAAAGCAGTTTCACTTCAATGATCCAGGCTTCAAAGAGTGAAGAAAGTGAGAGGAAAGTAAATGGAAGCCCCAGTTAAAGATAACATTCTTAAGGAATTTAGCTGCACAAGGAAGGAGATATATGGGATGATGGATAGTGGGAATGGATAGATCAAGTCCTGCCCCAAGAGTTAATGTTTATTGTTGGTAAAATGCAGTTTTCCAATTTGAGTTCAATTGAATTATACCCTTTTGCCTTTCCCAAGTGCAGAATCACTTATTTTTTGTTCTTAAAATATTGTTTCATCAGATTCTCTGAGCCACAGAGAATAAGTAGTCCGGGGTAACATTACTTCACACGGAGATGCCATCGGCAGGTTGGGAGGCAATGAGATGATCCCCCTCACTTCCCAACAGGAACGCCCAATAGAACACATTCTCTTCTGTGCGTGTTTGGAGGATGTATTGCTGTGCCTGGCAGGCTAGAATGGGAAAGCTGACCTCATTAGTGTGTCATAACGCCTTGTTCACCACAAGTGCCATTTTCTGGTGATGTTAGTTGTGTGTTGACTGAAGATCATGGAGACTTTACCCGACACATTCATTCAATCCAATTCAACAAGTATTGCTTCACTGCTCTCCTCAATTATATACGTTCTTTCCAATGGATCTGTGATCTCATCAAGTAGGAATATTCCCTCCAAAGATGCAGAATGTTATTGATGTTTTTGCCTGCCCATGCTTATTCATGCCCTACCATAGTTGTGCTACACAGGGTCTACCTTGGGTGCTGAGGGGTCTTCCTTCCTTCATTTCTCTTCCCATTGGGAGAATACCATTAAGAGAAAGGAATAAAAATAAAACAATTCCTACCCTCAAGGATTTCAAGGATTCCCCTTGATAAAAGTAGAGGAGGGAAAGGAGAAATGAAAGTGCTGCAGGAAATTTCATTTTTTTAAATTATATAAGCACCTCAACATATCACAAATTTTCATTTTTTTGTCAAGCAATTTTCATTTATACTACTTCAATGCTTAATATTGCATAGTCCTTGCCTATTCTTTCCACTGCGCCAGAGTGGCCAACTAATTGTCCTCTCAACAAAACTTGCCATTTTCTGCCTTGATGGCTCATACAAGCTGTGGCCTGTGCCTGGAATTTACTCCTTTCTCACCTTTGTCTCCTAAGAGTCCCTGGCTTCTTTGTGGCTCAGGGGCCACCTCCTGTGTGAAGCTTTTACTAATCCCCTCATTTCTTTGGCTTCTTTCAGTTTTGAAATTCCTCTATACACACTGCGCTGTGTTTTGTCTTTCATTTATTTATTTATTTATTTATTTGGTCAAGGAAATTGGGATTCAGTGACTTGCCCAGAGTCACACAGCTAGTGTTATAAGTCTCAGGCTGGATTTGAACTCAGGATCTCCTGACTTCAAGGCCGGTGCTCTATCCACTGTGCCACTTAGCTTCCCCAGGATGTTTTTTTTCCTGGCTAGGCAATGGGGTTAAGTGACTTGCCCAGGGTCACACAGCTAGTAAGTACTATGTGTCTGAGGCTGGATTTGAACTCAGGACCTCCTGACTTCAGGGGCAGTGCTTTATCCACTGCGCCACCTAGCTGCCCCTGTGTTTTGTCTTTAAAAGAGAAGCTACAGCACCTGTTGTGCTTGCCTTACCAGGGTGTTGGGAAGCTTGATGAGCTTCACAACATGTTAAAATAGATATGAATATTATATGAAATATATGAATATTATTGTATGAATTATAGGGGGAAAGTCTTTGAAAACTCTAAAACGCTGTAAAACTTTGGTATCATGATGCTCTTTTTGTTGTTTTATGTTCTAGTAGAATGTCAATTACTTGAGGGCAGGAACTGTTCTCCACCTCCCCCTACCCGCAGAACTTAATACTGTTCTTTGGCTATAGTGGACATTTAATCAACATTTCTCATTAATTCATTCATCCCTTCATTCAACGAACATTTTTTTTTGAGCACCTACTATGTGCCAGGCTCTATACTCCATTCTGGGGATACAAAGAAAAGCAAAAGACTCCCTGTCCTCAAGCAGGTTACATTCTAATGGGAGAGGTAATATGTCAATAACTACATATAATTCAAAGTAGATAGAAGGTAACTTTAGAGGGAAAGGTTCTTTCATTCCTTGATGTAGATATTTTCTCCCTCAGTATATGTCAAAACTCATCTATATCTTCTCCTTAGTGATTCTCATCCATGATCTTCCATGGGTCCTCCATGGAGGATCCACCCAATAAAATGAAAGCCTTCCTCAGTAGGTCTTTTGACATTTCAAAGGTATCAGGTAAGCACTGTGGTAGTCCATCTATTATCCTTAGCTCAGAATATAACTCCCCCTTGCACACCCCACACCACACATCCTATTCTGATTATCTTAGATGATGTCAGTTCTTGAGTTTAACACAGCAATGTGAGGCTGCTGCCACTTACTTGTGCCTATGATTGAATCCCTCAAATCCATAAATCTATTATCCACAATTACAGTATTTTCCATTTGCTGTTTCAGTGGTTTTCTTAGCCTTAATGTTGTATGATAGAACGATTCCAGTCAGTTTCATAATTTTCACATTTGTTGTTTCTTAGTCCAACATGTATCTCATGTGGGGTTTGTTATCTTTTTTCAAACTCCCCCCCCCAAACATTTTAAAAGCACTCTTTTTATTTTTCTGATAGCAAAATATTTCAAACACAAGCCCTAATGTAGAATTGACACCAAGATTTAGCATAATAGCAGACTGGTGATGACAGTATTATAATGGAAATTAAATGACATTGAAGGCATGTCTATGACAAAAGGGAGGAGGCTTCATTTTTCATAACTAGGGGGCTAAGATATTGGCATTTTTCACATGTAATTTTTGATAAAGTATTCCTGGTAGACTTTGAAGCATTTCAGTCATCTTAAGAGCAGCAAAATCTTATATTGCCTGCTAATTGTCTTTAAGTGATTTTTCTAAAGTCTTTTTTATCTGGAGTGTTTGAGTGTCATGATTCATTTAGCTTGCATCAAGAATTTATGTGTCTTTGTAATATGCTCTTTTTAGGTGAACATCAGCCCTTGGGTGTATGCCTGCCCCAAGACTCCAGAGAAATACCATCGTTGATGCCTAA